ATTTTTGAAAGTTTATTTGCAAAATCTGACCGTACGGATGTGTCCGAAATATTCCAAATAGTTTGAAAACACTATTGGCTCACCCAAATCGGACCTCAAATGGCTTAGATGTAGCCAAAACAATTTTAACGGTTCAGATCGGCAGAATCTGGTGCGCCTGAGAAGCACCAGATTTTTCTCCGGTTCGGCTGGCGTCTGGCTGACGTCAGCGGCTCGGTCAGCGGCTCAGGCTCGGTCAACGCGGCTTCGGCTCAACGGCTCGGCTTCGATCGGCTGATGACGTCGGCTGGCGTGGGCGCGTGCGGCGCGTGTCTGGCACGCGCTGTCCCTCAGTCGTCGTCTTCCTTGAAGCGCGCGTGGGGCGCGTGGGTGCGATTGGGATCACGCGCCGGGTGCCTGAACGGCGCGTGGTGGCGCGTGGCGCGACTGGGATTCACGCGCCAACTTCCAGGGGCGCGTGAGAGCGCGTCCGGCCTCCGTTGGGTGTCTGCTTTATATTTCTGGACTCCTCTCGTCGAGCCCTTGCTCCTAGTATGCTCAAAATCTGATTTGGAGCAATACGATTTCTGGGCAGTTTCGGAACAACACTCTGTTTTTTCGAAAAACGTACAACACCGGCTCTGATACCACTTTGTTAGGATCAAACACACCCAGAAAATTATCTCAAACACACAGAGAACACAATATTTACGTGGTTCGGCCCAATGCCTACATCCACGGACAGAAATGAGAATTTTCACTAAAATGGAGCAAAAATACAAATACAGAGGAGGAGATGAAACTCACTCAACTCACAGCTCTCACTTTCCAATTTCTGATGATACCAACCCCTCCTCACTCATCTCAATTTATAACCAAGAGAGGAGGAGTAGGTGAAGTGCTAGCCATAATTGACCAAGGTGGTGCCACCCTCACTATCTTCCTTTAGTGAGTTGGTGTTGTCCTCCACCACCTTCTTTTACCACATGGTGCCACCCACACCATGTGGATGGTGGGCTCCTTACCATGTGAGTAGTGGATGGAGCCAACATAATTAAATACAACTCGTATTTGAAAATTTTGTTTGAAAATGACATGGGTTTAAATAACTCGGACTACAAGTGTGGTGTTTCCGAAAGATTGGGAACTATTACAGTTCCATGATAATGCCAAATAAGAGTGCGCTGAAGCTTTACATTTCAAGCAGAACTATTAGCATGTCAAGAAACCTATACGATGACTACAAACTTGGCATGCCTTTTGTCTCCAATACAAATTCTGCAAAGTTTGTCTATGCTCGAAAAGAAATCATAAATCAGCAAGAATTAATTTTGTTTAACATTAATATCTCTGAAAGTTATTGTTCAGTGCTACTGACAGTGATCAAAGCGCTCGATTGCCCCTTCTTGCTGTCATCTGAAACTTTAGTATCATCTTCCCCGTTCTGCAAAGAGAGTAGAAGATCAGATAAACTCGACATACAACAAATCAATCATTTCTACAAAATTGCAGTATCAGAGGGGCCAAAAAAAACTGCAATCATTTTGGTGTGCATGGATAGGATAGCATACTAGACATGCTTGTGTGATATTAGGAATATAAACCATATGTAATTCATCATGTTTCCATGGGAATCGTGATTTTGCAGAAAACATGGTTAGCTTTCTACACAAGACCGCAATTTGCAAGTCTAGTATAAGGATAGAACTCTAGGGAATGGACATACCATTTTGTTTAGACATTGAGGTGACATGAGTTCAAAGAACTTGCGCATCAGCATTTCTTCCTCTACCTGCAAATATTAATAAAAGTTCGCATCACTCTATTAAAATCAACAAAAGCAAACAAACAAGGTCACTAAAAAAACTATATACATTAGAAACTTGTGATTTGTTGAATGGCCTGCAACAAAATCCATGTAAAGGGGAACTCCAGGAAGTACGTACCAATGATAAGTCCAAAAGCTAGCAAAAAAATAAATAAAAGAGGATGCAGTTTTTTTTAGTATGCATCTGGGATTTGAAGGTCTCATGAATAAGAACTCATATGTGATCTTATGGAACTTTGCAGGAGTCACTTTATGTCTGTTACTAGAGGCACCAATGTGGTGTGATGATATATATGTCACATCCTACTTAAGTAGGATAATTGTTGCAAGACATACTTGACAGTAGAAATGAGGTTGTTGCTACTATATATTAGACTAAGGCCTCGTTTGGCAATTCACTATTTTAGTCTAAAAGTTACTAAAAAAATTAAAAAACCAACAATCTCTACCAAAAAGTCAAAGATTCCATTTTCTCTCTATTTTTTGCATATCTTTTCGTAAAAAACCAAAAAGTCATAGTCATTCCAAATATACTTTCTTTCTTTTTTTCTTTTTTTTTTTATCTCAGATTTTAACTAAAAAACCAAAAATTTATTAAAATAGTCTATTCCCAAACGAGGCCTAATCCCTGAAGTTCTCAGAGTGGTTAGCCAGAATGCACCTCCCTGCTAGGTTTAATCCAATGGTACTGTGAAGTGTGGATGACGTCTTTAAAAACACATCAAGTTTTGGACAAAGAAGTTAATCCAAAATGCTATATTATGACATCTTTCTACATAACTGTTTATGTTTCTTTCTAACATTGATATCAAAACTTCATCTACTTGTTTACTAGACTCCTCTTAATTTTGTATCCTAAATTACGCGAGGGATTGTTAATCTTTTATATGCATCTCTGGTCCAAGCTATGTATTTGTATATTGTTTTGCTTGATGCATTTTAGGATTTTGTAAAAAAAAAAAAAAAAAAATTAACGCTCAATTAGTACACATTAATGTGTGTTTGTGAGGGAAAAGATTAGGTACACACCTAACCTCTGGCATAGTGCACAAAGTGGTTGCCCCGTGATTTGAACCCATAACCTTAAGGTTATTAAACCAAAGTTTTACTATTGAACCAATGGTCACCCCTCACTTTAGGATTTTGTATTATACAAATTTACCCCCGTGGAACAACATAACCCCCTTTATGGCCTGCCAATAGAACATTCCTATGCCCTACCATTCATAGTTCTTCATAACTTTGTTTCTCCAGCTTTACCACGTTCCCAAGTGTTACATCTCCATGGTAAAGCACCGCATGGAAACAAAATGGGAGAGGGTGGAAGAAGGGAGTCAATGTTTTTTATATTAAAAATCTTTTGCTTATATTACTGTGCACAATGGTTCACAAATTTTACTCTTGGAGTTTCATTATACCTAACTTTGGTCACAAAAGAGCAGTTTATCTTTGGCATGATTCAACCTTCAAGAATTAAA